GAGTTCACCTAAAGAGAGGCGTAATTAGTAAATCCACATGGCATTGGTAGTGACTATTAAAATCAGGAACTCGCCTTGGCACCAACTATTGGAATCAGGTGGTAGCAGTCTCCGATGGTTAATTTGAGACTATCTCACTTATTCTATGAAGGACTCAAACCTAATCAGTCTCCACTAATTTATGAGGAGGTTAGGTAGGGTTATGACACCCCATGATTATTAGTATTGAGAGAAACCAAATTACATAAATGAGTGAGTTAACCCTGGCCCAATAAATCCTCAAAAGTGAAAGGCTAAGTTAGTTTGTGAAATACGTACCTATGTGATAGCTATCAGTTTCATATCTGAAGTAACAAGAGGTTATAAGGTTAGCATTTAATCATACATTTAAACTTGACCATATGGTTGGTATTATTGTGGTTCAATATGTGTTAGGGATGCAGGGTTAGTATTATTGTGACCCTAATATGTGCATTATCATTTAATGAGATTATTCGTGCTTAAGGCTCGGCCACATTATTGTTAGTATTGTGAGCCATGACTATGCTTACCATATGCGCTATAGATTTATTATGTTTGCCTATTTGCATTTGTTTATAATTGATATGCAACTATATAAATTAGGTGAAACTTGGTTACTGAGTGGTTGTACTCACCCCTCAATTCTCAATATTTTCAAGGCCTAGCTCATTGAATCTGAGTCGGGCAAAACACATTGAGGCATAGGATTTGTAGAATAATCTGTTTATATACCTCTCCTTGTTGTTTTATATGTATAAATGTTAATGCAATTGTCAACTAAGTTTCATATAATATTTTGTATTACTTGTATTATTATAGCATACAACTTGTGTATTTTATGCCCTGAGTTAATGAGTTTCAGTTGTAAACCCATGAATAGGGCTAAAAAACTTATGCAAATAGGAACATGTGTATTTTGAATGATTTGATATGAAAATGATAGTTTTGTGCAAAGTTTCCATCCCCCTTATGTTTTATGAATTTGGGGTTGAGTGGTAATTTTGAGATTTATATTTTTTTAATTGTGTATGGTGTGTTACACAAGTCTGCTAGAGTTTATTAAGTATGGTCAAAGGTTCTATAGGCTTTTAGTACTTGTGGTTGAGTTGGGGCACTATTATTGTGAGATTTTTGTGAAAAAGTGGTAAATTAGGTTTTGATATCCAACTTTTTATAGAAAATGAATTTAACTATGAAACTTGTGCCATTAGTTAGAGCTGGAGAAAACTTCGTGTAAACACCAAAACCACCTCAATCAGACATCAGACAGAGATTTAGGATGCGTTTAAAGTTCACTCCCTGTGTTATCAAATTGACAGCTGATATATGTCAAATGCGTGCAATGTGCTACAACGATGGCATCTCACACTACCGCTCATAGCACAGAGACGAGTGAGCCACCGTGCATGTCACATTTTCTGTAGTTTTGAGTTTCAAAACTCAATGTTTTGTGTCCTATGTGATTTTCAAGTTTTTGCATTATTTTAAAACTCTGATTTGAGTATAATAAGTGTTTGTTAGAGATTATTAATGTTAAAATTTGGGAATTCCAATGTATTAATATGAGAATTGTTCTCATTTAGGTAATTTTTTTTCAAACATGGTAATCCATTAAGGGTTTAGTCCCTTGATTACTTTGAGATTGGAGTTAATTGTGGTTTAGTAAGGGAAAACTTACAACTTGGTATCAATTTCTTCGATTATAAGAACTGGACTATGGATTTGTGAGTCAGGAGTTTGCTTGTGAATTGTGCATTTGCATATATAGAAATTGGCACTTAATATTATACACATGTTCTTTTCCCTTATTGAGCTAGTGCTAATTCTTTTTCTTTTATGGGATAACTTCCATCCTTAGGAAGGAAGAATGGTGCTTAGGAAGGAAGAATGGTGCAAATAAGAAATACAGCCGGTAACATCTCAACAAATGTATCAAGACAAGAGCAGCAAGTCTTGGTATGAGAGGAGAATGTCTTAAGCGAGCATGTTAAGTTGGGTCAAGGCTTAAGATAAGCTAGAAAGCAACTGAGACCTACTGCAAGTAATGAGAACATATTGTTCGAACTGAGAAGTATAATGAAGAGGATTGAGCAGAGAATTGATGTACATGATGAAATCCTTAAGAAAAGACTTAAAGAGTCTAGCAAGACTGTGGAGAGGGTTGAAGGCAGTCATGGTGAGTTGAGATTAGATAGGGAGGCACTTGGCCATCTTAAAGATGATTATCATAAAGAGAGTGGACCAAGGAGGCCTAAACTAGTGAGGCCTAGAGGATATATGTTAAATTGACAACTGATATCCATCAAATTCATGTAATGTACTGTGGCGTATGGCACAGAGGTGAGTGAGCCACAGTGCACATGTCTTTAGCCTCAACACATGTCACGTTTTCTGCAAAAAACATAGTTTTAAGTTTTGAAACTCAAAGTTTTGGGTCCTATGTGATTTTCAAGCTTCTACATTGTTTTAAAACTCTGATTTGAGCATAACAAGTGTTTATTAAATATTATTAATGTTGAATTTTTGGATCCCAATGTATTGATTTGAGAATTGTTCTTATTTAGGTATTTTTTTTAAAACTTGGTAATCCATTAAGGGTTTAGTCCCTTAATTACCTCAAGATTGGAGTTAATTGTGATTTTGTAAGGGAAACCTTTCATGGTAAGGCTTTCATCAGAGCTTGATGGTTTGCCTAGAGTTATTTATACTTATTATCCTACTTGTTTAATGAAGGACTTAAACCTAACTAATTTTTTACTTATTTAATAAGGAAGCTAGTCTAAGGAGAATGACACCCCATAGTTTAAGAAATAAGAGAAATTATGACTCACAAGTGAGACAGGAAACCTTAGTCGGGTAACCTATCACACATGTCTGGCTAGGGTAGTCTTAGTGTATAGATGATCCCAATGTGTTATAGTCTACAGTTTCATGTTAAAGGCATAAAGAGGATATAAAGGAGGTGTAATCATGCATATAATGATTAAAAGGGCATATAGTTGTTTGTTTTGTGACCCTTACGACGAATCTTTATGAAAACACTTATTGTAATCTTCTTAAATGTGAAAAGTGCTAGTTTGTTGTTATAGAATAAAATTATGAATATAAAATTGAACTGCACTTGAATAGTGTTTTAGTGAATGGGTGTTTCATATGATTATGAGATTATATTACCACTTGCATTTAAATTGATTGATATGCTTTAATATAAGTTAAATGGATCTTAGTTACTAAGTGGTTGTACTCACCCCATTATCTTCAATATTACAAGAACTAGCTTAACAGGACAAGCCAGAGGGAAACAATCTGAGGCTTAGGACTTTTTTCCTATAACTGTAGGCCTCTTTATTTTGAATACTATATATGTACATTTATTGATGACATTACCAACTAAGAGTTTATATGTGTGCTTACTTGAATTATGTATTGGTTAGTAGTAAATTGTGTATTTTGAGTCCTAGGATGTATTTATATTGATTGCAACATCTACTACAAGACTAAAATATTAGTGCAAGTAGGAAGTTAGTGAAATTATAATTATTGTGGATTGTTAGGATGAATTATGAATTTAAGGCTCCCCCTTTTGTTTTTAAATTAAGAGATTGAACATTGAAAATATGTTGTACTTATTATTTGTGAGTTATGGTGTATTGTATAGGTTCATTTTGGTGTTTTAAGTGTGGTATAGAGTGTGAAATTAGCTTTTAGCACTTGAAATGTGAATTAGACACCTTTATTGTGTTATAAGATTAAAAAGAGTAGTTTTTGAAATAGATGTCCAAATTTTGATTGAAAAATGCTATGATTGTGAAATCAATGCCATTGTTAGAACTAAGAAAAAGCATTATGTAGACTCTTAAGATTATCTAAATTGGACGTCGAATGTCAAAAGTTTGCCCCGATTGCTGTCAAATGACAATAAAATTTACTTTCAAATACATGCAATGCACTACAGTGCAGGCACATAAGCTGCGATGCATGTGTGGCAAGTCGCGACGCATGCCTCTCTTCTATACTAATTTACTGTTTCCAATTTTTAAGTAAATGCCTTGATTCCTTTCGAGATACCATGCTTCCACATATTGATTAAACATTGATTTTCAACTTGTAAAGATATTTTGAAGAGTTCTAAATTTTAAACACTTGGGATCCTAATTTGTGATTTTACGAACTTGGTACTCGTAGTTTAGGGGATAATCCCTTAGTTACCTTAAAGTTTGGAGACTAGTAAGAGAAACCTTACAAGTCTTTTGTCTATAATGGATGGTGCAGTTTTGTGAAAAAATGACTCTTTTGATCCTGTTTTCATTTGTTTTCAATGCATAACCTTTTTCCATGCTTCTTAAACTATTCTTGCTCTGGTTTAAAGCGTTTTAATATCCTTTAATACTTCCCTTCAAATTTAAGTTATTTCTAGGATTCCATTTATACAAAAGTTTTATATTTAGTTTTTGAAGTTATAAATGGCCAAGGTTGATTCTATCTTCCTTTAATATATTTCTCGTTTAATTAATTGGCTATAAGTGATTGTGATTGGTTGTGATTAATGTTCAAGACATTACACTTTTCAATGACATTTTAACTGGAAGGGTCTTAAAAGATAGAGAAAATATATATGGATCACATGCATGAATACCCCAAAAGGCCAAAACCATTCTTTATTAACTATTCATTTTGGTCTCTATTATATAACATCTTCTGAGAACATTTTCTAGTCCTTAGTATAAGACAAACTATAGGGTATTAATTATGTTTTTTTTACATTATCGGTATTTAAAATCATTAATTATGAGAAAGAATATATGTAATGTAAATTTGAAAAATTTTTATTTAAATAGAGATAAAATTGAAATTAAAAATTTATTTCATTTTCAGACAATGTGTTCTAGTGAGGTAATTAAGAGTGCTTTACAATTAGAACCGAAGGGAATGCAGTTTACGTTTCTCAAGCAGCTTATAATAATACTTTTTAACATAAAACTATGGAATTAATTGATTGCGCTAGCTAAGCGCAAATTAATCAATAAAGATGAAGTTTTAAAGAGCGAAGGGACATTAGCAGCCTCTTGCGCAAGGAAGTTGTGGCCTAATGGGTGGCTGCTTGCAGCACCAACTTCTCGTTGTGTGGTTTTGGTGGATGATCAGGTGGGTAAAGGCGAGTGCTTCGTTCAAGACTTTGAAGTTGAGGAATGGATCAGAGCAGGACTGGAATTAGGTAAAGATTTTTGTTTGCTTGCTTTATTGCTTTTCTAGGTCGTACTGGAAGTGTTTATTTGCTTTCCTGGTTTTATTGTACTCTAGTTTTATTGCTTTTGAATATTAATGAGTGTACTTTTTTTTTAGCTATCAATAAAATGGCCTTTTTTCTGTTAAAAAAAAAAGAGTGAAGAGACTATATATATTGACCTATAGGTTCGAGAATCCCAGCCAACCAAATTTGCAGTGATAGAAAGAGCTTGTTTCCACTTGTTCACTTGGTATTGATTAAGCTTTAAGTCTCTCTCGTGTTTTGTAAATGCCTCCATGTAAATTCCCTTTTGATAATTGCGTATATGAGATGGGTCAATTTGATAGAAGACAGGAACAACAAGCTGTCCTTGGACCTCTCTACACCAAAGGATCTGGACGAGTTCGTTCAAACACCATTTGGAGGAGGCATAATTCTCAGAGAAGATCACCACAGCTATACTTGAATCCTGAATTGCTTGGATCAGTGCGTCCGAGATGTCATCGCCTTTTGGGAGCTTATAATCTATGTAGGTCCGAATTCCTCTCTGGCGTAAGGCAGCATAGAGATGGCTGGTGAAGGTTCTACGAGTGTCCTCGCCTCTGAAACTCAAAAACACATCATGTTTCTTGGGAGGAAGTGAGGACGAGGACGAAGAAGCAGTACCAAAAGCCATGATACTATGATCAGCTATTCAAAGCGAACAGTTAGGTTTTTGAGATTGAGACTCGCCAAAGGTGATTTATCTGGCATGATGTATAATTGTTTAGTTGAAGTGGGGACTCACATGAATAGTGGCAATAAAATTCATTTAAAAACTAATGTCTTTTGTCTAATATCAAATCAATCCAGCCGCCTGTGCAAAAGTCAGAAGTTCCTGAGAGGAACTTAATCATACTTTAAACCTCATGATCTTCCCTCCTCAGCTTTATTTATTTATTTTGCCTTCTCTTGCCACTCTCAACTGTCAAACGGGGAAGGCGGCATTCATCTCGTAGTATACATGATGTCCTTATCATAAACTTGTGCATTATTAAATTTTTGCAATGGTACCTTGGGGAGTGACATTTTGGTATTGAAAGAGAAGTTATATAATTCTATGTGTGAAAAAGTTTGAAATGTTAAGAATTTTACATTTATTATATATATATATATATATATATATAACTTTCAAGATTTGCAACTTGTTAAAATTTACAAGAGTCAGATTTTTGAAATGCATGAAATTTTATAAGTTATAATTTTGAAAGAATTATATTTGAGGATCTAGTAAGAAACTTATTCTTAGATAAGGATTAGTAACAAATCTCATTTAAAAAAATAAATTTATATTCTCATTTTAACAATAATGCATTTCATATTGGTCATTGTTTGTGAATAAATTTCTTTTCAAGTTTTTTAATGTGATTATACATATAATCAACAATCTATCTCACACGCGAAATGTGTTCATTAAAAAAAAATGATGAAGTTGTTAATGCATTATCATGATTTGTAGATCTTTCATTTTGGGATACTAAAGATGTGAGTTGACTATTTTGATTTAAGGGAAAATGGCAGAAAAATCTTTTAAGATATGCAAATAATAATAACATCCTATGAAACGTTATAATTAATTTCAAATCCTTAAAAACTTTTATGACATAAGCGATTTTTTAATGAAATAACTAGAATATCCTAGTTTAAAGTAAAAAAGTAAATATCAATCACTATTTTAGTTTAAGCAATAGTCCTTCAGTCTTATTTATAGGATAGAGAGAGAATATTAATTTTAATTTTATTTATAAACCACTTTATTATTTTCTATATTTATTTTTACCTTTCTACCCTTATTAAAAAATAATTTTTTTATCAGTAGTAAGGGATAGAGGTGAAAATTTATTAAATGTTAAGATAATGTTAATAAAGTTTAAGGTTTTTCTTGATTTTAGTAAAACATATTGAAAATGACTTATAAATAAGATTAAAGGAAGTACTTTTCTTTAGCAATGAGTAAAATGGAACTAGCAATCACAACTTTCTTTGTGCAAAATAAAAAAAATTACACATGAAAAGTTGTGATTGCTTGTTCTATTCTATTCATTATTAGAAGAAAAGTAATAATTGCTTAAACTAAAGTTTTCTCTAATATTTACTTTTTTATTTTAAACTGAAGGCATTTTAGTCATTTCAGCAAAAATTATTAATGTTAGAAAGATCCCTAAGAATTTGAAAAGAATTATGATATTTCATGACAATTTTATTATCATTTACATATTTCAATAGAATTTTTCTGTCATTTTTCGTTGATTTAATGCATATTGCAAAGTGTTCATTACTAATTACTTCTCCACCCTTATACAGTTTTTTTAAGCTCAGCAAAGACATTATTTTCCCCAGGTATTAGGAGTAAAGAGTAAATCTTTTTAATTAAATTGTTACTTATATAAAAACTAAAATTTGAATCCTTAACCACTTATTTAAGTGATAAGACTTTCTATCACCTACTTCAACTTTAATTTGTCCTTACATTTTAATCTTTTCAAAAGAAACTACAAACATTTTTTATTGCATAAGCTGTTGCCAACAAAATAGCTAAACAAGATGACATGCGTATGTGTATTATATTAGATGAAAAACGGAAATATATATTAAATGTAGTTCTAGCGATGGTATGATAGAATCATGCATTTGAAAAACAAAATAGCAATCATCCGTTAGTGTTTATTAATATACAAATTCATGACTAACTATTAATTATTGTCACAAATGATATCAATTAATTAATTTATTAAAACAATAAGTCAATAAGCAATATGTGGAACCCAACAGCTTATGACAACGCGGCTTGTGACAAAGTCAACTTTTTGTAGATTTGGCTTTTAAAATTGCCCCGAACATGATGCTGATGTTGGAAACTGTTGAAATTTTGAGGAGAGAAAGCTCCGAGTAATTGACATAGGTTTGGATAAGAAAAGAAGGACCAAAATACGTAAAACTGAACCGGTCATTAAACTGACCATGGCATTGGGTCACGGGTTAGTGGTTCAATTAGGGTTGAACCGGGGGTTAAATCGGTCATGATTAAAATAATATAATTTAAATAAAAAGATATTAATTATAAAAATATTCAACCAAATCCAACCACTCAAAAGTCTAACAATAATAAAATACAACACTTTAAATATCTATCATTACAATTACAACTCTTCAATCTCAAAAGTCTAGAGAAGAGACAGAGATTGAGCTGGAAAAGAGACAGAGAGTCAGAGACTAAGTTGGAGAAGACATTAATTATAAAAATATCTACCTCTAATTTTTCATTTTTTGACTTTAGTTTTACTTTTTTTGTTATTTTATTTATGAACTTAGCACTCTGAAAAATCAAAAATGAAAAAAAAATCTCCCAAAACAACATCGTTTTAAAGGTTTTGTCTGAAAAATAATAACCCGGTTAACCCAGTCAACCCACCAGGTTAACCGAGTTATACCGGGTTGAGCCCGGGTTGACCGAGTTATACCAGTTCATTCCCTCACTGATTTAGGAATAAACCCAGACCGAACAAGGGACCGGGTCACCGGTTTCCGGGTTGACCCGGTCGGTTCGGCCGAGTTTCAATACCATGAGAAGGACTTAATGAAAATAAATATTTATTCCAAATTAAGAAAGATAACATTCACCACAAGACTTTCACTTTTCCCTCACCAAAGTCAGCATCACCCTTATGACATTCTCTCACTTCTTTCTTCTCCTCTTTTTCACATCACCTCACTCTTTCTCTCTCATACCACACGCTTCATGTCATCACTCGCTTTACTTATTTACTTCTTTCTCATTTCACTCTCTATCTTGTCTTACATCTTCAACTACAGTTGTATTAGCGTATTTAAAATTTGGCTCACATACTCATGCTAATAGTTGTAGAGGTCGTAATTGATCTTCTAATTTTGAAATCTGGTTATATAGGACTTTTGTACTTTGCTAAAATATTGACTTATTGTCATGTCTTGTTGTGAAACTGACCATAATTCATTATCCAATCTGTGAAGCTTTGCATTATTCATCCTTGTGAAGCATGCCGTGAGTGTGTCCCAGGTTTCTTTATGTCTTTACGTTTTGTATATTTTGAAGATCATCTTCAACGATCATCAACAGGATGTACATTACCTTCTCAATTGGAGTAAGTAATTAGCCAATTCACGCAACCCAGGAAACCCTTATTGGAAGTAGTATGGCAAATACTAGGTTATGTCAAAGAAAGGCAATAAGTGGTATCAAAGTCAAATTGAAGCTAGCTATTAAGGAGTAGTTTGGTTACTTAGGAGTGGTCATTATTGATCAAGTATTTTGACACTAGGCATTGAAATCAATAATATCCCAAAGTTCTGCTAGTGCATCATTAAGAATTGTAAAACATTTGGTTAATGACCTGATTTACTTTAGAAGTGTTGGGCATTTCTGAGTCAATATGATAGAGATTACATTAACAACTATGGGCATTAAGAAATGAAATCATAATAATTATATTTATAAGACATGATCTACATGAACCTAATACTACCAAAACTGATGGAATGCCTTTTGTATAGTCAACAACCCTCTTTGAGAGGAATTCATATCCAATTTTTAAATGGTATGTATCAAAGGCTTTGAGGTTGAAAAGCTCTGCAGATTTGTGGAAGCTCAAAGGGTGGGCCTCATATATCTCATTGACTCTTCCAATTACAAGGAATTGCTTGTCCCTCGTTGTAATAATAACTTTACTTCCAGGTTTCAAATGATTACAATATGGAGCTAAATATTCTAATTGCCTCCAACTACTGACATCATCAAGCACTATAAAGACTTTTTTACAACTTAGGCTCCTCTTAATAAGGGCACTTCGTGCAACATTAGTTGGCCTATGATAGGACCTTTCTTCCTCTAGTAATTCAAAGAGAAGTTTATCTCATACACATGTCAATCCATGCCTTTCTACACCTCTTAAATTTTCCAAAAAGCATCAACCCTCAAATTTGGAGGGGAGTTTGGTGAATAAAGCTTTAGCCATGGTGGTTTTGCCTATGCCACCCATACCTCAAATTATGGTTCTTGAGGCTTTTTTCATTAACCTTCGATCTTTGCACAACTCTCATCAATTCCAACAAGATCTGTTAGTGGTGAACTTGGACAACTAAGGTTAACATTATGCAATATGTTGTTGACAATGCTTTGAGTGAGTTTTGATTCGTCCCTATAATAAGGAAAACAATAAAAAGAAAGTATTATTTTTTTAATGGTAAAGAGGAGATGCATTGAGCAAACAATTAGATAGAAAGAGGAAAGAAAAGGATGTGAATAATAGCCAAAAGGATTTGATCCTGGCAGGCTCTATATTGCTAATATATATAGTACAAGACAATTACAAAACAATCAATGAAATGTAAACACGCATAGGTGGTACAAAAGGAACAAATATATACAGAATCAATACACACAAGGCTATAGGATATTCTAGATACAAATAATGCCAATCAGATAATTACTACTAATCCTTATGTTCTAACACTCCCCCTTAAATGAGAGGATGTAATTGATAACCCAAGTTTGTTCCTGAGGGTAGTAAACTGTATGTGCGTAAGAGCCTTTGTCATACAAATTAGCAATTTGTTGAGAGGAAGGTATGTATCTGATATCAAGTGTGCCTAAGAGAACTTGATCATAGACGAAATGTA